ACCTACAACGGGTCAATTAGGTCTTCAAATGTTACATTTTAGTTAATTTTATTGTTTTGTGATATTAATAACACAAATTTTTGATATTTTTCTAATTTTGATCTATTTTTGCTTCTGTTTAGCGCCGTCATGGTTGCTAGGTGACATGACATACGCCGGGGTAAGGAGGGGAGTCTAGACTGTCCAAATTCACAGCCTCTTTGTTTTCCAGTCTTCCCGGTCTACCAAGGACCCGGCCCACCTCATCCGGGTAGTCTGGGTCCTCCGGCGGACCCGGCCTGCCGTTTTGGACACAGCCCCTGTTGTTTTTTAAATGTACTTTATAAATAAATCTGACTGGACTAGCTGCTGGTGCAGGTTACAGGTTGTGAGCAGGAACATAGCAATGATCCAAACATGTGGTTTAATGTCTCAGGTCACGTCCGTTTTATCGACTATGAGTACTCCAGCTACAACTACCAGGCCTTCGACATCGGAAACCACTTCAATGAATTTGCAGGTTGGCACTTGGTTTGAGATGTAAACATGCAAACAGTTGATTTTTCATGAAGGGTTGAACAGTTTGTGCTGGATGTTGTTGAGCAGGCATGGCTGAGCTGGACTACGGGCTGTACCCCAGCCGGGACATGCAGATGGACTGGCTCAAAGAGTACCTGCAGGCGTACAAACTCTTCACCAAGAAGACTGAGGAGGTCACCCTGCAGGAGCTGGAGACGCTCTACGTCCAGGTCAACAAATTTGCTTTGGTGAGGAAGACTCTGTTCCACACTGAGTGTTTGCTGTGACTGTCCCACGTCTCATATCTGATGTCTCCTTCAAGGCTTCTCACTTCTTCTGGGGCTTCTGGGCACTCATCCAAGCCAAATACTCCTCCATCGACTTTGACTTCCTTGGGTAAGTCTTTGTTCTGAGTTCACAGGTCATGATGTCCTCACCCTGGACCCCCCACCTGTGAGGGATGTGGGACAAGTTTTAGGTCCAGTTTTCTTCTAAAACAGTAATAACAATGACAGGCTGTATGTGTCTGACATTTCTCGGTTTAATATCCTGCACCTGACACAGCACAACATGAAGACAGTTCCCTTTCAGTCAATTCACTTGGTACAACATCATGTATGGGAACCCACGCTCCTGCGTGTCCTGGCTGAAGCCACCTCTAATCACGCCTTTAGGCAGGTGACGTGATGACGACAGATGTCAGGCTCCACCTGCACATATATATATACTGTCGCATCACAGTCACTCCTTAGTTCGATAACCGCTCTTCACTGAGCCCAGCTGTGCAGCGG